TCTCCCCAAAACCCCAAAACCCCAAAACCCCACTGTGAGTATTTTGAAAAATTTTGATGAGAGTATACTTTTAAAATGATTAGAAATTGCTTTTTATTAAATTAATATGATATAACGTTTTTGTCTGGTTAAGTTATCTAAGAGGAATATTAGAAATCAAGTATAAATCATGGGAAATGATAATCGTAGATAGCTTAAAGAGTTCTTAGCTGATTCTTTTTTCCTTTGTACGCTTATCTCAACTGAGGGAGGAGTTCCTTGAAAAGAAATCGATATTCTTCGATTTAGAAAAATTAGACTTCTTAAGAGATAGTATACCTATAGCACAGTTTGCCAAGGATACTAAGGTTATCACTGCTGATTTTTACTCTAGCTTTTGAAAAATCCCTAACATAGTTAGTAGCTTAACAACTTTTGCAGAATCGAAGATCATGCTCTAAATCTTAAATTATCAGTTCCGCTACCTAGTTTCCAAATTGCTTTCTTATTTTTTAAATGATAGACGGTTTGACATGAGTTTTCTTAATTGATATTTGTTTCTTGAATTCCCTAAAAATACTTCTGACATTTTTAATATCATGGCATCCCATGTACTCGTCAGGGAGCTAAAACTCTTTTTGCAATCCCAGAGCTGGTCTTCCCCTTCTTCTTTTCTAAGAAGGTACATCTAGTATCTCACTTTCCAAAATTGAATTCAAACTTGGTTGATTTTAGTGTTCGTTAATGCTTTGCGACAAATCCTAATTTATAGCCGAGTTAAACAATGCTATTTCTTAAGGATCTTTCGCAGAATCTATTAACGAATGAGTATTAGTAGATATTTGATTTTCAAAGCTAGTTTCATCTGAATCAATCTACATTTTGCCAATATAACTAAAGTTTATGCCTTTAGATTTTTTGGGAAGGTATTATTCGAATAACGTATTAAATAAGTCAGTGTCAAGTTACTTTCTGAAAGTATGATCATACATTATAGGTTCTAAGTTCTTATTAATTTCATCAGAATATTAAGTAGCAAAATAATAGTTATTTTGTGAAGAGTCAATCGTTTGAGTCTTTTTTAGGAATTACTCTGCTAAATCTAATTGATTTAACTCTTTGTCGAAGAATGATTCATTGTAATTTGAGTTATTTGATTAATTACTGAAGAATTCAAGATAGTTTTCACTTGGAAAATAAAAATTAACTTCTGTGTTCATTTAGTTGTTTGGATTCTCCTTAGTTTAGTTTAATATTATAGTTTATAAAATAGTTCGTATTATTTTCCCAACATATATTTATTAAGAAATATCAATTAGTAGAATCTCAATTCCTTGTTTAAGTCAAGCGGGGTTTTGGGGTTTTGGGGTTTTGGGGTTTTGGGG